GTTTTAGAAGGGAACTCTGTATATTTTATGAGTTTTTTTACCTTTGATGTCAGTGACGAGACCTACCTCATATTATAGAGCTCAGCACGCTGAATCGAATGGTGAAAAGCGCAAGTCTCTAGCCTTGTTAGAAAAAGCCTTGTTTCTGGAAGGCCTCCTTTCTGGAATTTCTGAAAATTGTATTATGAGGGGTGAGGGTGAGAAAAAAAACATCGGCGGATACTTTTGCATCAGCCCAATAGATAACATTTTTCTTGATTTATTACAACAGGACGTACGTGCGTTAAATTTATCTTACATTTACGATTTATATCTTTAATGATACTGACGTCATTATGTGGAAATTTATTTCCTCTTTAAATTTGATACGAAACGGAGGAAAAGACACACGCTGTTGTTTTTTATGTCCCGATAAATCATTTCCATGCTTACGATATATCCGATTTACGTTGAAGTAGGACGAAGTTGCATTTTCTCTTATTCTTTGTTGAAGAATGTCATTATTGTCATTTCGATTACGTTTAGGTGTAAAACTTGATAGTTCGTCACTATTTTGATCATGTCTCTGTCGTTTCAATTTTTGTTTTTCTCTATATGATAATTGGGTCTGAAAATCATCCTGATTATCAGTAATATCCTGCAGGTCTATATTCTGGTCCCCTGAATTGAAAAAGTTTAGACTATTAGTAGGATTTGAATCTTTAGTATCGTTATCACGTTCTGTACTCATAGCACAGTAAGAGATAAAGAAGAGATAAAAAGCACATGTATATATCAACTATAGTAAATAACACAAGAAAGAAGAACACATCTTTACTATAGAATGTAAAAGTGAAGTATGAGAAATACGAAGTATGATTCATTCATCCATCGAAAATAAAACGTCGCGTAGAACTAAGGAAAGAACAGATAAATTGAGTAAGTTTGTTATACTTGAAGAGAGAATAATTAATATCAGATGAATCAGTCTTTCTAGATATCCTTTTCCAGATTTGCCCAATCCTAGGTAATTCTCATTCTGGGTTATTCTCCAATACTTTTACAACTGTATATAAGAGTTTGTTTTCTTGAGGTATATTACTAACACTTGTTATAAAGTTACATTAAAATAGAGAGGATAATATTAGTTATATGCGATATAACACCCCGTTGTGTGACTATCGTTGACGGTAGGATGTTGACAAGTCAGATGTGTCAGTTTCGAGTAGCCCGATAGTATCCTACAGTAGATAACCGTTAAAGGTGGCAGTCCATCCTTTTAATAACTGTAAAACTGTAGCTGAGTATAGAGGATGAGCCTAACGCAGAGCTTGAGCATGAGAGTACTTCTTTCTGACGGGTGGTCCTCTTAGTGCACTGAGCTTCTCAGTATTTTGACTAAAACCTGTTTACTCTTCAACACTCAGCCACTATTTGTTTTCCAAAAGATGCACTGTTTTTTCTCATGTAACTACTTATGCTGTAGAAGAATTACAGTTATAGCTAAGCTAATAGATAAAGTTTTTCAAGCGCTACAAAACGGTGAACTTAATTTCTTCATGTCTTAAAAGTAAAAGAATAAAACAGAAAAAATTGTTTTATTGGCTGGTAAGTTGGTAGTTTTGAAGTATTTCAGTGTTTTTCTTGTAGTCTCTTACTTATCTATTCTAGAATAAAACAGTTAGTACATTTTGGTAAGGAATTAAAGAGCGCATCTTTTGGAAAACAAATAGTGGCTGAGTGTTGAAAAGCAAAAACGTTATAGTCGAAATACTAAGAGACTCATTACTTATGAACCACTCGTTACATTGTTATTGATTAATTCTTTCTATATTTCAAAGAATGATTGTTTATTGTTTAGATTTAGATTTTTAACAAGTTTAAATGGTTGATTGTATATACTATTTACTATTTCCAGATAGTCGAAAGATATCTTATTACCAGTTAATTATTCAAGATATTTTTCGACAATTATTACACGTCAACGCTCTTTCAACATTATACCAGCAAACGTTATTTGAATATTTAAAACTGTTCAACAATCGAAATTTATCGGATAATGATAAAACAGATGTTAATCCAAATCGAATTCGCACAGACAGCAATAAACCGTCTTCAAGTACAACACAAAATAGCGAGCTAACAGCAACAATTTCAACAACTATGCTGAGTCGATCGTCGTTCCAGTCGAGATCCGATGAAGCTTCATCAATTCAACATACACGAGATAATGGGGGTAAACAAAAGTATTTCTGAAGATATTAAGGGTCTAAGAAGAGAGAAAAATTAAAACAAATCTAAACTTGATTCATAAACATTCGCGTACACTAAAACTATGACCAAAAAATATTTTCACTTTTTATTTTTATAAAGGTAACAACAACACAGTATCTCTCGTATGGTTAGTTAATGATATGGAAATGAGCCAAGTTGGAAATAGAATACAAGATAAATTTAACGAACGAAGTATGTTCTTCGATGATAAAAACAATTGTTTCGAATATATTCAATCTAACACAAACACAGCCATCTTTCTGATTACATGCGGTGAACACGCTAGAGACTTAATTGTCGGTGTTCATGATTTATCACAAATACATTCATTATATATTTATTGTGATAACAATGCTGTTCAATCGTTCAAATTATGGTCTGAACCTTACTCAAAAGTAGAGGGTGCTTTCAGTGTCGAAGAACGTCTGCTGTACAAATTGGCACTTGATTTAGCATTATGTTATACAAAAAAAGCTGCTGATTATAAACAATCAGGTGATAATGATTTAGCTAATATAAATTATTGTCGGTCACAGAATATATATGAAAATATGCTTAAGCATTTAAACAGATAACCGCCAACACTAATTATCTATTGATAACAAAATGTTTTTTTTATCAAAATAAATTCGTTCTTATTTTCCTCAAATATGTTCTCTAGTCTTTTTTTCTTTCTCATCAGAAATATTGGCTTTTACCTGCTATTATAAACAGCAACTTACTGTCTGAAATGAAAACATTCTTGCTTCATTGTAGTTACGTTGTTGTTTTATTAGAGCAATTTTTACATCTGACATCTGGCAATTTTTACACTGTTGTGTTTATAACAGATTTTATCGATATGTAATATCTCTGTTATACTAAATAAACTTTAAATCATACGCTAGTCTCAGCAGTGGCGGATTTAGGGTGCTGCCCGATCCCGGGAAGTTTTCTCAGTTCCAGTCCCGGAAACTTTTATGGTGCCGGAGGAAATACTTTATTAATAAAGTTTGCATGACGTAGATGTGAAGTTCAATGCCTAGGAAAGAATCAGAGCTGAGCAACTCCGCTGTCTTTCAAATGCTGGCGGCTACCAGCACCGAAATTTTTGATTTTATACTATTATACTCTCCGTCTTGTGCAATGTGTTGATCGTACAGAACTTTTCAGCGATTTTGTTTTTATTATAAAGATATTAAAAACAGTAAGAAATAAGAGTATACAATCTGCTGACTGGTTCAGCATATTAACTGAACTTTACTAGGAACATATGAGTATGTATATAAGAGAATAGAAAAACTCCCATAGTCGAACACACAAAAGAAAAATGATGCAACACAGAAAAGGAAAAGAGAGATGACTAACATAGCAAAAGCAGCTACTAACAATTAGGGATGCAACGGTAACGGTAACCGCACCTTACCTGTTACCGTTACCGGTCTAACCAGTTCTGACTGGTTACCGTTACCGGTTTCAACCCGCGACGATTACAAAAGCTACGGTCGGAGTTGTACATGTACTTATTTTTTGCCCTTCTTCTTTAATACGAAATTTTTTCTTAGATGTTTTTGCGAATCACTTCTTCTTCGAGAGCATATTATTGCTTGTATACTAGGAATTTGCTTTATAAAATAGACAACATGTAAAACAATAGACTTGAAAAACAAAAGAAATATTTGCTACACAATTCAAAACACAAAATAAATGTGTCTTTAATCACAATTCTCTGTTAATCAACATAACGTTGAAGAAAAACACTTTTTAACATGGAACAGTCGGTGTAACTCAAACTAACTTAAGAACTCACATCGCTCACAGAACCGATTGGACCGCGGTAATGGTAACCGGTCAGAACCAGTAACCGTTAAACCGATTAGATCGGTAACGGTTAACCGATTGTCAACCGCTATCGTTGCATCCCTACTAACAATAGCATGGTCGATCGATCGAAGTCCATAATACATACTACCTCTTCCTAGTTTACATGTGAAACTAGAATCATTTTCTTTTTATACAAATTTTCTCAACATTTTTTATATTGTACATATTTTTTACATGTATAATTAGCTTACATTAAATTAGACAATAACAACAAATAACAGGAGTATAAGGTATATATAAAACCTGAATTGTAGTTTTCACTATTGTTAGCTGGTTTAGAATAAAATGTCTATGAAAGAGAAGCGAGATATCTCATCGTTTGATTCCATTAGTAGTAAAAAGCAAAAGACTCCTGTAAAAAAAGCGCTAAAGAAACTTGGAATATCTCAACCGTAGAGAACAGGAACAGCGACAGTTTCTTTAGCATGCATGATAGTTCAACAAGCATAATGATGGAAGATAAATCAATATTTACAAATTTCAAACATGATATTGGTTATCACATTAAATCAAGACTTTCACTGGATGATGATATTCGATATTTATTGTTGAAAGATCATTTTATGCCCAACCGAAATTTTAAGTGGCCATATCCAGAACGAACGTAATACTAAAGATAATTCGTAACTAGTATTTTTTCCGTCAAAAAATGGTTTATTTTGCCTTTCTTGTGCCCTTTTTGCAACGGGAAGTGGTGGGAAAAGTCTGAACAGTGGACGCGAGTTAGGACTGTTCGTATCTACTCCCTATCAGCAATACGCTCTTGTTCGTTTTGTTGTCAAAGGTATCACTTAGTTTTCTTCATATAGAATTCGATTATGTGAATGTACGTGTTATATCGTTTGACAAACTGTCATTTTAGCTTAGCCGTTTTCTTCTATTTACCTTTCGTCACTGATCAAATATCATACAAAGTAGAAATAACAGAGCATGTATTTGTAAATAAGATTTTTTCTTTGGTTTATATAAATATGAAAGATACTGTTATTTTCTTTGATATTAACCGAATAAATGCAGACATCTGTTGCAGACTTATTTTATTTATTCCACTCTAACTGAGGTTAATCTTGACAACAGAAAAAAACAGTGATTTCTATCTCTATCCAATGTATCAAAATCTACCTGCCTATACTTCAGATCTATCTAAACATCCATCTCCATATCACGATCCATCAACAGATCAGATATATCCTTATAGACCACTACATCCTGGACAAATATCTCTTCTTGCAATTCCTGCCTATCAACAGGTAAAAGCAATACCAGTCCTAACGCCTATTACGTCTAGTTTAAGGACATTTTTTATTGTTGGTGGTTTGTTGTACATTCTATTACGAACCATTAGCATTGGTTTAGAAATCGCTTTAATTGCAGTTGGTTATACAAATTGTTATCCTGGGTTTTTGCGCAGGATGGGTTATTGCTAGTACCGGCTTAACTATCGTGTACCGCACATTATAGAATGTCCGTTTTAATTATCTCTTTATTAATTACTCTTGCCCTATCCTGCGTTGCTGTTATTCTTCCCATTGCTAAGTTGGCAGTAGATGATTCATGTTATCAGAGTAAGCACAGATATTGTAATCTATCCGTGGGACGATCAATGACGATCGGCATACTCGTAGTGTTTATAGTTGTAATGATACAAACAATTGTCAGTCTTATTATTATATCATTTGCACGAAAACGAACCAAGATATCGTCATCACCGAAATTAAACATCATAAACAAACCTTCGCACAGGCACAACAAGCTGCACTATGATTGGAAAAACATTTCACTATGTTTACATCTCTTTTTCACATGAAAAATGTATAGCTTTTATTTGGTATACGTTAAACTATATACAGATGCGGCACTTAAAAATTGAAGAATTAAGCAATTTAAATTCATTAACAACATTGACACACCGTATATAAATCGTAAACGATCTCACAGACTGACGGCATTTGGTCTTACTTAGGTGTTATTTTAAGTCTCATGGAAAACTTTGACAGTACCGATCGCACACAAACTTTATTTTTCACTTCCCCTTCACAGAATTTAAATCAGAGAGTGAAACGAGTTGTTATCAGAGTGGATTTTGAACAGCACGCTTCAAGCTACGAAATAAGACATCTCTCAAATTTCTGTTACAATATTTGAAAGGAACATTGTAGAAATTTAAGAAATGTCTTATATTATAGCTAAGCACGTGCTTTTCAAAATCCATTCTGATAACAACACGGTTTACTCAATCGTATTTGTGCTTCAACTAAAATGCAGTAAACTGAAAATTAAAATCCATTTTTTTCGGGAATGCTGATATTTCAGTTATGGCGCAAGCACGATTCAGCATACCGAGTTGATCTGAGAGTCGATTTTGAAAAGTACACTTATAGGTATAAAACAAGACGTCTCTCAAATTTTTACAATGTTGTAACATAACCAAAAAAGAGTAAAATCGGCTCCTGTACCAGAATTACGCGATTTAGCCGTGAAATAACGTCAGTCTTATCATCGTTCGTTCCGTAGTTCTTTTCCTTCACAGCTACTTTCATTTTTTTGCACTCATTTTAAAAGTGTAAGAAATAAAAATATTTGGAGAGAAAAAGCGAAACTTGTAAGTGAAAGGTGCTTCATGTTTGCAGTGGTGTGAAAAGAAAACGATAACTAATACTTTTTTCTTTCGTTCGCATGGACTTTGCTTTGATAAGAAAATAATAGGTAACGATAAACAAAGACATCCAAACTGTAACGACTAACCAAAAAAAGATTATTGTACTTAGTTAAATTTCATCTGTAAGAGTGAGTTGCTGTGAAACTTAGAGACGAGGACGATGATAACTAATTTCAGATCTAGCTAGTTTTTATATGCATCGTAGGACATGATGAATCATGTAATAAAATATTGGTTTTGTTTGTCTTCGTATATTGTGGAATTTCAGTTTTCTCCTTGATTTG